TCGCCAAGCAAATATCCATCGCTACACTATTTCTCGAGCCCCTTAGATATAAATTGAAGTTAAATAAAAAGAACAAAATGGTACTCGAAGTTTTCAATTTTTCTTGCATTTTACATTTCAAATATTTAAGAGAGAGACCTAACTGGCTAATTTACTTAAGGTTTCCGGATTGCTTCAAAGAAAATACGCCCCACCTCATTACGCGCGTTACCACAGCGCCCCGAAGTACCCCGCTTGTGATAGGGCCTGGGCGGAGGAACCGCTGCTGGTGAGGACCCGCCACAAGAGAAAGTTCGCTGGATGGCCCTCAAACAAAAGCGCTCTTTTAAGTGGCAAAACACAATATAATAGTCACTGAGCCGTTCGATGCCAGTGCGCATGCCTACTTACACACACAAGACTATAAACCACCAACGCCTCCCCCGCCTGAGTACAAGACCAGTGCGGGACAGAGTGCCACAGAGCGCCCTCACCACCCCCAGCCCACAGAAAGCTAGCTGACGGAAACAACAGAAGAAATATCTCATAAACACCAGCACGGCACAGCTCATAGAAACGCCGTCCCTGCCGTAGGATCCTTCCGAATAGATTTAATGTATTATAAAAATATGATATTAAGATACTCAGTAGGAAACGCCTTTCCGAGAAGTATAGTAGAATTTTTCACCCAAACCAGACGGCAACTGATATGTATAAATTCTTGATAGTATGCTAATTAAATCTATGTTCATAGAGACATTCAAGAAATAAAATTTGGTTTCTTACTTACATTGAGAATGCAAATTGTAAGCAATAAAATATATAAATGCCTGTCTTTACTTATTGCGAAGTTCTTCTTAATACGCAAACGTAGTTAGTAAATTGAAATTAATATTTATTCATAGCCACTGCATCTAAATCGTATTCTCAAGATTTTTAACATGTTGGGCCGTAGTTCATGTCTTTATGCACACAGTTATTTCATTTAGTATTCAGCAGACACCAGAACGAACGATTGACAGACAGACGTTCGGCCGCCAATATTAATTTGGTATTCCTGTGGAGTCAACAACCCCAACAAAACATTGGCACTGTCTAACTCTCACAAGACGTTTAGAGAAAAGTTAAACTTACTACCAACACTACACCACTTTTATTTAATTCTACTATTCTATACCTACACCAAGCCGAGGCCAAATTAGGTTTTTTTTGTCGCGACAAAATCGCTACGTTTCCGCTGCCCACATTTCACTAATACTTGGTCTACATACAGCCTAGAGGCAGTAGCAAGAGAAATTTGAGATAAAGCATATCCCTCATAAATATATCAATAAAAACAAAATTAAATACTGGCTACAGATCCTCTCACCGATCCTACCTTGGTTCTGCGCTATATATGTACGAACAATCTATTCTACGGATTAACATGTCATGCTGCAGGTCACGCTGAACAGATAACAGTTCAGCGAGGCAGGAAGAGCGCCCCCGGGATGGCGCGTCTCTCATTTCGCCGTCACAGCGGCGTCGCCTCCCTGGAGCTCGCTTGCCCGTCGCTCCGTCTCGCCCCCGCGCCCCGCACGGGCCGCGCGCCGCCCAAATTCGCCCCGAAACGCCTGCAGGTATAGCGCGGCGCCGCCACCCGCCACCGCAGCAGCGCCCGCCACGGCTCCCGCGCAAGCACGGCCCCAGTCCGTCCCGGGGCGCAAGCCCACTGCGCGGCCACCGAGGCCGCGCCATAGCTGACGCTTTCCGTCGCCGCTCGCGCGAAGCCCCCCGCGAGGCCTCCACGCAAAGCCCGCCCTCACCACGGCGCTCTCACCCGACACGCATGAACAGCCTGACTCGCACGCGTAGTTAGAAGAATACCCCCTTCCACATATGGTCGTGAGGAGAGAAATCGAAGGGAAAAGAGAAATCGACAGTCTGGGGCTGCGCACTGATCAGCCCTGCAGACACCGCCCCGCAAGGTTAGATGCCATTCCCCAAGGAAAGAATTGCGAAGAGAACATGTAAGTGACAAAAACACCAGACCACCAGCCAGCAACCCTGGTCTAAGGTTTCGACTTCCGACTTGAGTCGCCACGAGTATATGTCTAAGTCCCCACAACTCAAGATTGGAGCAAGGTGTGCCTTGCATGGCCGAAAGCACACTGAGCCGAGCTGTGCAACTGCGGAACAAGCCATGTCATATTAGTTCACCCAGACGTAGTTCAACGGCAAGCTATGTCTAC